ACTTGTTGAATTTGTCAGCGACGTAGCTTTTTGCTTGTGACTTAGTTTTCATGCTTAGATATGTAGATATGTTAGATATGTCGGTATCATCACATTTTTTCATTTCAGAATATTTCATAACAATATGCTTTAGATATTGTTCTGCAAAATAGGTCATATGTGTCTCTTCAATTTTACATTTCAATTCCAATCTTACATTTTTATCAATAATGTCAAACGTTCTCTGTAACAGCCGTGCTTAGACCCTTTTCGGATAGAGTTGTCCGGATCGAGCCGAATAGATTCACTTTCATCCGGATTCGATCCTGTTCCAAGCCGGATCGAGGCGAATCTATCCGGCTCGATTCGGAAACTCTATCGAAAAAGGGCCTTCCCACTAGGATAAAATTGTCCGGATCGATCCGAATTGATTCGCTTTGCTTCGAGCAGAATCGAAGCCGGATCAAAGCGAATCAATTCGGCTCGATCCGGACAATTTTATCCTGGTAATAATGGGATCTTATTAGTAATCTGGGCCGGCAGCCACTGCGCCTTCGCCGCAAAATGACCAGGCTGACCACCATGTTCAACATCTATCGACGCTATCTCTGTCCCCCGCAAATAGATACTCCCGCCGTACTAACCATACCTTCAAGCTGCAGACCATTGTGTGTAGGAACAACCACTACAGGCTCTCGTTCTTCCCACGCCCCATCCAAGAGGTTCTTATCTATTGAAATTTCAATACAAAGCAATTTAAAGGCAACCTGGCAGCATCGCTGGTAACGGGTTGCATTAGCCCAGACACTCAAATTCATCCAAGAATAGAACTTGAGCGCTAGCCTAGTGCGGCGGGGGCGAAGTCTCTTACCCATATACAAAGCCGAGTTGGAACGGGCTTCGCTGCATATATTATTGCCCTACTGCCCTCCCTCCAGTCCTTGTACATGTGTAAATATTAACGAACAACACTAATGCGCTTGTCTTGTTTTGAATCTCGTCTGCATTATAACCCCCATTTCTACATTTTGGCCCTTTTCCCACTAGGATAGAATTGTCCGGATCGAGACGAATAGATTCACTTTTTTAAATCCGGAATCTTTTCGGCTCGATCCGGAAAATTCTCTCCTAGTGGGAAAAGGGCCCCAGTCTGCACCTACTGTTACTAATAATGCGCAACTGCTAGAATTCCACAGTTTTTGCGGGCTCATTAGTTATGAAAATGATGAAATGTATATTGATTGTGCTTACAGATCTTTATTTTCAACTCACTTCTTTAAAATTCCTAGATAATGTCATGCGCCCAACATGTTTTTGTCCAGCACTGTATACGGCGAAGGTTGGGAAGCAATTAAGAAAGAAAAATACTAGAATTCTATTTTGAGTAATTGAATTTGAACCTCATGAGATTGGCTGAAAAAGACGTTAGTCTACCACTAACTAGATTCATACGCCTAATGCAATATTATATCTTAGATATAAGGTAATAACGCGGTACCATTGGGAATATCAGAGTTGACGAAATAATACAGCAAAGTACAGATAAAAAATGCAAAATGGATTTTTACACCGACACGACTACCCTAAACCATTTAACATATAATTGGTTTATTGTTTCAATTGAAAGCAATACACTAAAATACATTGCAGCGACTTGTACATAGTACAAGTCGCTGAATTATGCATATTAGGCAGTTACAAGAAATGAATAAAACACTTGATAAAATCTATAGAAACTACTATACATTGCAAAATAATTAAAATAATTAGACAATACTCATAATAAAAATTACCACACACTGATAGATTACCTGACGTTGTTCAGAAGTGCAGTGAAGTATGGAACATGTGACGTCGGGTGCATCTATTTGGATAATAACATTTTTTTAGTTTAATATTCATCCTCTTTCAAGTCAGAAAATTGTTTTCCCGTCAGTTATCTCCAACGCACGTCAAATGTTCTTAGGGCCCGGAAAATGCGTCATTCGCGGTCGCAAACAGATGACATTCTTTGAACAGTAGTTCTTGCATATGTCACGCAAATCTGAGAAGTATTGAAAAGCGGTGCCCTACATCCTTAGATGTTTGTTTTTCAAAGACTGCTTGAAAATTCTACTTTAGTACGACAGCACAGAAGTTTACAATGACTTCGCCATTACATACAAACAGCGCCGTTATGCCAACATAGAGACTAACATATAGATATGTTCAACAAGACTTAGTTTTACTGTTTTTGTGTAGCCTCAGTTGCAGATCGACCCTACTTTATTTTTAATTCGCACAGATTTGTGAAGATTGGACAGAAAGCACTTAATGTGCTTAAAAGGATCATTTCATCATGAAACATTAAAAAACATAAACACAAAGTTGGGTACTAAATACAAAACGTATAGTGGACAGAAAATGAAAATGGCTGGTGCACCAATAGAACCCAAAACGTTAATAAATGTGATAAATCAGATCTTCCAGACAGTGAAATGAAATTGAAGACAATATCAAAGATACTATTTTCTTGTTTGATTGCGCTACCACAAAATAAGCCTGCTATTGTCTTTGTTGAGTTTTAAAAAGACCTACCGGCTACCGACTTCTGATTGCTTGCTGAGCGAAATTGGGGAAAATGTCCACTGGGGCCTGCAACTTGTCTTCGGGTATTCCTTATCATAGGCGTCTGTCTTTGATGGAGGAAGCCATTTATCGTGTGGCGTCCTCGAGTCGCTAGGAAGTTTTATCTCAGGGTTTGGATCCCTCTAGAACTTAGCTTAATCATCAGGTATGAAAAGCAACGGTAATTTAACACCTGTGTATATATATATATACGTGACTAGAATATACTGTTAACCATATTTTTTTATTTACTTCATGTTTCATCACAAAACAAGGCTCATGAGAGCCACTCAAATACATGGCTCTATCAGTGTAGCCATATCTTTTTCATATCAGGAGCAGAAAATACATTTATGGCAATGACATGAAACTTGACATCGTTTCATAAGTCTTTAAATTGAATTACACTGTTTGTGGCTTGTACAACTGCGACTTGTAGAATTGTGTTACATTCTGTGGAAGTGGTGAAATCCAAAGTTATGCTTCCGAATGACGAATCTGCATTCCCTAATTTCGAAATGCTATACTTCTAATATTCTACCATATAATGATTCTTTACTTTATTAAAAAAACAATACTAAACATGCTGAAGGCATATATCCACGGAAACCAAGCATTGTTGGTTTCTCATTGTAAATGTGCTGAAAAGTAGCCAAAATAGGCTCAGCCAGGCCATTTACTGGGATATTGATGAGCTTTCATCCGTGACCACCTACATATTTAACGGTCTTTTAGAATAAATAACACTCTACTGTGAAGGCATAGAGCAGGCCTCTGGGTCACGTAAAATAGTCCCAACAACCTCCAGGCTAAAAGCCTGTCACTACTTAACCATGAATCCTCTAGATTAATGGAAATAAAAAGGACGGCTGTTGGCATTTTGTCACTATATATATGATGTACCTTGCACTGGCCTGCAGTAAAAACAATTAAGGCCCACTTAAAATTAAGGACGGCACGGAAAATATAACCTTGTTGGCAAAGGTAATAACACACTTTCGGGACGGCCTTACTAGTAGCAACACACTGCTGGACTTTGCAATAAATCTAAAATCTAAAAAAAAAATAAGTTAGAGAATATAGTATATACCCATGCATATGCCCTATGTAGTGCTATACAGGTACTAGTAAGGAACCTTTACACTATGGAAGTTTTTTTAGGAGCCAGGCATCCATAACTAGTTTGGTCACACTTCAAAACTGTAAAATGAACTACACCAGAAGCTCAATCACGAACGGAAAATAGCAAAACGACACCACGGGACCTCTTTTGTAAGAGCTTGGCATCATACAAAGTGCTTTGAGTAATTTGAAGAGTGTATATATAGCTTAAACTGCACTAAAATATACATCACTGGGGGATCTCCACTGGAAACAGTAAAAGGGAATTCCTCTCCGGGTTTCTAACATCGCACAACGTCGTATTCTGAACATAAATTGATCTACACGTAAACACACATCACTGGAGATGAACGCTTAAAGGAGAAATTATCCACAACGAGCTGTGTTACAGTTGAAACGTAAGGGTTTATCTTAACTCAAACATATATCACAGGAGAAAAACAGTTTAGTTACACGTTAGGGACCTCTTTCATACGCCTAACATTACACAACAAGCTTTGTCTTTGTTAAACAGTACGAGTTAGACTCCATTCAGCCATGTATTATAGGAGAAACGTAGGCCATTAAGGAACGCATTTGGGACTTCTTTCAGTGCGCCTAATTACATATATTTTGTATAACCATTACGTACCTGTAATGACCTCAATACAAAAGCGGTCTACGGTCTACATTTTCATATAAATAAACAAAGGTCCGAACAAAAAAAATAACACAACTAGCTTAAAGGCAGGGGTCATCTTTGTAACATGTCTTATCTTTGCTTTTTTCCAGAGACACTGTTCAAGTTCCTAGATCGAATATCGGCGAGGACAGAATTCCCAAGACAGCAATTACCCGCTTTGTAAAACCGTCAGCTTGATAGGACTCAAAACAAATCAATTATACATTTCTTACAATAGCTTTGATGAAAGCTCGCGTCACCCTTAGCCTGGAAAACCTATCTGCAAACATAATCCACACTGCATGATATGAAAATTTTCTAGAATATCTTCTCAAAACCAATCCATTATACATTTCTTAAGGTAGCTTTGATGAAAGCACGCGTCACCCTATCCTAGAAAACCTATCTACAAACATAGTCCACAGTGCATGATTTGAACATTTTCTAAAACATCAGCATTTCTCCATTTCACAACATAGTCGGCACATTCCTTACCTTGCTTTTATCTAGAAATTTGCTTTATCCAAGGCCATTATACAGAAAGTCCTTGCTTTATCTGAAAGCTATTACGTAAATCATAGGGGACAACGTCCTCACTCACTCGAGCTGAAACAAAAATCTTTTCGGTCCCATGGAGCCAAACTCGAGTTTCCCCCTAAACGGCACGATTCCGGACCGGTTGTCCGGCTGGAAGCAGCCGTTATACGTCCAATGCCTTTTAATCATTGGTTACGGCGCCGTGTTCCTGTTGAACATTGTCGGGAACCCGCTGGTGTGCCTGGTGGTGGTGAAGAATAAAAACATGCGGAACGTCACCAACTTCTTCATCGTCAACGTGGCCGTCAGCGACTTCTTCGTGGGCGGAATATGCATGCCGTTTACACTGGTGAACAACCTGAAAGCAGGTATAAAAACACTTGTGATTGCTTACAGAATGATTCATGTTGTTTTAACATGTGTTTTTGAATTGCATCATCTAAAATCGGCAAATGCAAGCAATTATGTCTTCAAAAGCTTCAACTTATTACCACTTGATTTCGTACTTTTTTTGCATCTTGGTAATTAGACAACCCTGCAGCTGCATTTGACTTGCTGGGCCAAGCAAAGTCTTTTAGTCAGTTTGATATCAAGACACCGGTTATTTCCACGTACGACTGTTGTGAACCTTTAAATAAGCATTGAAATTGTAATACTTTAATTGAAAATATTGTATTTTGTTCCAATTTTCAATGTATTTTTATCTTACATTTATGTATACGCACCGATCTCCCTGAAGGACGCTTGAAGAGGACATTGTGCCGCGCCATTTTGATGACGTAGGATGACGTAGACTGTACCCCGGATGTATCTGAAATAATCATACATTTTTCACGTTGCTGTCCACAGGCTGGGTGTTTGGAGAGGTGATGTGTACGCTCCTTCCTATGATGATGGGCATGGCGGTAGTGGGGTCCGTGTACACACTAGTCGCCATCGCTGTTGACAGGTATGTACAAGTATAAAGTAATTTAATTCAGTCCATGATTAGTATATAATGATCATAACACACACACACACACACACACACACACACAGACAGATACAACACTCACATACAACACACAGACACATGCGCGCGCACACACACACACACACACACACACACGAACACACAATACATGTAACATATACATACAACACAACTCTCTCTCTTTCTGTCTGTCACACACACACACACGCGCGCGCGCGCGCGCGCACTGCAAACACACACAGACAGGATGTCAGGATGAAAAATCAGTTTATTATTCTACGTCTGGTTAGAATTACAGAAGTATAGTATTGTATTTTTCCATGCATTTTCCAGATACCTGGCTGTGATGAAACCGACGGATGGCAAACTGAGCAGCAAGGCGACTTCAGCGATCATCGCAACCATCTGGGTGCTGGCCTGTGTCGTCATGGTTCCCTCAGCTGTGAAGGCGCGGTACAAGGACGAAGACGGTCATCCTACCTGCTCCGAGACGTGGCCCTCCCTGGAGAGCAAGCAAGCGTACTCCATGTCCCTTTTCGTTATTTGCTATGTCGTGCCCCTCTCGGCCATCACTGGTCTGTACCTCCGCGCAGGAATCCGCCTGCACACCAGAAGCGCGCGACGCAATCGTTCCGCAGAACGTATCGCCCAGCTTCCCAATCGGAGCCAACCCGATAACAGACTTAGCAACAACGTCCGCATCTTTAGAATGATGGTGGCCGTTGTTGCTCTGTTCGCATCCCTGCACTTGCCACTCTGGGTAGCAACCCTGCTAAACGACTTCGCCACGCCTACCAGAGAGTTGTTTGAAGTCCTGTACACGTATGTCTACCCGGTTGCCCACTGGCTGACGTACGCTAACAGTTGTGTGAATCCCATTCTGTACGCTTTCCTGAACAGAAACTTCAGACAGGGCTTTCTCAAAGCTTTTGTCAGCGCTAAAAAGTCTCGAAGGGTTGAAAATCCCAGAGTGGATTGCAACGGGAAAGACGGCCATGCAAAACAGGACAGGGCCCGGTGTCGGCTGACGATCGAAACCCCATATGACAGTCGGTTGCGGCGAACCACCCCTGCCACGCCAGCAACGGCTGTAGATGAAGTCCCCAACATCGGTGGGGCTACGACTAGAAGTTCTACTCCTCCTTCAGCAGCTGAAAACAAATGCGTTGCACAGATATAGGTAGGCGTCTGGCCATGTCATGCTGAAGTGACCAACGGGTTGTAGAACTGGTCACTGGGTCTACATTATATTTGTGCCAAGAAGAATTTAGACCCATTTCATGGAATTTGAAGCAAAGTATTGGAGCATACCTCAGATAATGGTCCCTTACAATCTGTGTAGAGCATAGGGATGGCGCCCATCTATATTTCCTTGGGCCTTGGGCCACATAGTTGTGCAAGCACTACAACAGGGGGCTAGCCTGATGGTAGTATTGTGTGTTTCACATTCCCATACTCTTTCTCAGAGATGCTGAGTGCTAATAAAAATCTGCAGAGAAAGCAGTATGTACCATTTTTAAAGTCTTTGGTATGGCCGGCCGAAGTTTAAACTCACGACCTCCCGGTTACAAAGCGAGCACTCTACTGATTGATCTATCGTACCGGTTTGCCTCAGATGATGCTCATGTTTAATGTACTAAAACTTTGGCTAAGAGGGTCAAATTGAAATATGTTATATCAGTAGGTATTCTTACATAAAGTTTTGCGTGTATTCTCCGGCGGAAGGGTTACATTACCACGATGATGAGCCCTGTGCTCTTCGGGAGGTCGGGGATCAGCCCTCGGGGCCTGTCGGTGAGGGGCCCCCGAGATCTCCGGGCGGTCTAAGGGCAATACCCGGGGTCTTACTATTGATGAGCCCTGGACAATGTTTTGCTGTGTACTCTCCGGCGGTGGGGTTATAGATTCCGCTGATGAGCCCTGAGCTCTTCGGGAGGTCGGGGATCAGGCCTCGGGGCCTGTCGTTGAGGGGCTGCGGGAGGTCTAGGTGCAATCCCCGGAGTCTTACTACTGATGAGCCTTAGACATGAAGGCCAGAGTTCAGTACACTTGGAGCTATACTATATATATATATACTAATGACTCTTGTCGACTCCAAACGGCCAGAACTCGATATCCTACCGCTTCCTTGTGACGCCCAATTATCGATAATTGTCACGTAAGGCCACAGCAAGTAAATTTTATGGATGACATCCTCCGCAGACTCCAAATCTAATGCGATAGGGCGAAAAAAACAAGGCGGGCCAAAAGATTCCTATATCTTCCAATATTGACATCATAATCCTTGGTAAACAAGAAATGATACTGCCAATTATTACAACATTTATTTCTCATGGAACAACTTTGAAAAACAAATGTTAATTTTTCAATCATTGTACAAATGGTTTTGATCCAGTTTGCACATCACTATATACACAGCCACCATCACATATAAAAGGAATGAAATACATCACTGTATCAAAATAAAAGACAAATATTAAACCAGAGCCTTCTCTTGTCTCCTCCCTTCATATTTATCTACCATCCACGTTCCGGCATGGCAACAGACATCTTTGCCCATTTCCGGCATGTTGACGAATGTCAGAGGGCAACAAATTTTCTTCTCTTTTTTTTACGGGCGAAAATTAATGCGCGCGCTGATGTCATCCATAAAAGTGACTTGCTGTGGCCTAAGCAGCAGGGGTCAGCGATAGTTTGAGGTAAGTGGGTAATGAATCCGTGGGCGGTGCAGCAACACTTTGAAGTGATGACTGGCAGGGTTGCTTTGAAAAGTAAATCACTTGTGTAAATCACGAGCCCTTGTTAACACGTTTGAAGCAGTCCATGGATGTTACTGTACAAGAACGTTTATTGCAAATTCGTGCCCGGAGGCTAATTGCAAATAACAAAATATAAAAGAACATTGAAACAAAGTATAAAATCGGGAAGTTAAAAGGCGATTATTTTTTTTTTGTCTGTAAGTTTAGAGAAATTTAGGTCACTTGATAATATTTTGATGTTGATAGACAATACTTTCCAATGACAGGGAAAAATATCCCTTTCATGTATTCTAAATCAGCTATGGTTAAACTATTATACAGATTGCTGGAAAATAAGGCAAGATTTCATGTTGTATACAGTCTATTTTGTTGATGTATAAAAACTAATATATACATTATATACATTACGTATATACAATATCAATATTACATTTCCAATAGTGTACATTGAAGATTCTTATTCGATGTTTCCTTTATCATGAATCTGTAGTTAGTATACCCTGATGCAAGTAATGTCATTCATCGACTAGCATTGGTTGTATTGTATTGTGCATCACTGTTGTATTATTTATATATAAATATATCGATATTTGTATGATAGATGTTATGATTATCAATGATGTATAAGTCCTTGTATATGTTATAATGTTTATGTATGATATCATGCTGATATAATCTATATTATGCGGAGATTCCTATATCATATATATAATATTCAGAGAATGTGTTTCACCCCAAGTATAACTATAGTGCTAAATTTATTGGTTATCTGTTCTTCTTCAAAATGTAACACACTATTTGTGCATGTGTTCTACAAATGATAATGACTAGATGCAATTCCATTTCTATACATCGCTGTATATTGAATGCATAAGCAATCTCACATAACAATGCAGTCGTTCTTGCAAGTTTTGCAAAGGCTTGAAAAATTGTGACAGAGAATTCGTGTCTGACTTTATACATTGTTTCATTTTAATTATTTGGCAACAGTGGAAAATCCTGTAAACGGTATATTGTGTATTCCGATTAATAATGCTTCAATCAATGGGAAAGTTGGCCACAAAAAATATGTTCCTTATGCAGAGGAATGCATTTGGACACATGAATGGTTTCATATCAATTGTGGCTGTAGTACTAGTATAAATCAAATAATAAACTTTTGCTGTTGATTGTAATTTCATGTCATTTTATGATTAAAGTATTCTGTTTGGTGATATGTTCTCCATGTACTATGAAATTTACGCTGAACCATATCAAATGGTTGTGTGATCAATCAAAAGAAGCATATATGTGTAACAGCACCGTTTTAACATCCGTGAATAGTTTCATCAAGTTGGTAAGTCACTGAGTAAATAGACTCTTTTTACACAACCAAGTCCTGTATTCAGCCAAAGTTTCGGTGACCGTCTTTCACCTTCCTCAGGGCAATGTGAACCAGTCAGAATGGCCCCGAGGAAGGTGATATACGGCCACCAAAATATCGGCTGAATAAAAGACTTGGTTGTGGGAAAGAGTCTCTTTACTCAGTAACTTACTAACCTGATGAAACCATTCACGGATATGTAACGGCACCGTTTTTAATCTTGAAATCTCGAGAGAGGGCAATGCTTGTTGAAGAATTCCGAGTCAACGAATACATGTAGCTGTGGCTACGGTGGGATTGTGCTTGACCTTGCACATCAAACTGTTAGAAACCAACGGAATGAGAACCAATACGCCTTTCAGAAACGTGTCATCGTTTCAGATCCCTGCTAGAAATCACATAATCTTAAAACGTTTTCTCTGTGAGAAGCGGTGAATACGTGTATACGGTTCCTATAGAGAACGCCGCCTTTTGTTCAGGTAGTTTTGACGAATGATACTTGTCAAAAACGTATGCTCAAACCACCTCTTACTTCCACATGTAAATCCACGTGTGTTCCCCCGATGGTTTGTCAATGACAGTTTGCTGCGTCAGGTGCGTCGGTAGTTCATTCTTCTTTTCTGATCAAACGTGTGTCTGATGATGAGTTATACCCGACGGTCCACTGAAAAATCACCACTGTCTTTGTAAGTCAGGAATTATTATTCGAATGTGTCCCACAGCCAAGATAAATCATGCTTTGTAGGTGCAAGGAACGTCCTTCGTAGGTGTTTGGTGCGATCTTCATCTCCAATTTAGCTACAGATTGCTACAGGGAATTTCTAAGCAAAGTAAAAATCTAACCACATTTGAGTTGACTGTGCCGTTCAAACTATCAGGAATTATTATTCAAGTGCGTGCACTAAATCGTGTCCCAATGCTAATAGAAATCATGCTTTGTAGATGCTTGGTGCGATCTTCAACTCCAATTTAGCAACCAACGTTAAAATCTAACCATATAATATTTGAGTGGATTGTGTCGTTCAAAAGTACAAGTGACATGGGGATAAGGATTTCATTGTAATCCACATACGTCTTACTTAAGATTTTGATCCACAAAATGGCCTTACGCAGCTTAAGTAGGACTGATGGCCTACGTAAATGATAAATAGATAATTAGCCATCGATGTGAAGCATGCAGATGTGACGTAATTTTTCGTCGGAGCTTCAAAGATTCGGGGGTGTAAACTGTACATCCGCTCTTCGGCACGCACACATATATGAGCAGATTGAATTTGATGGTATTGTACATCTGAAAAGGGTATCTCTTTTCCATTTTATTGCCCCAATTTTACCACATATTGCAAAAACATTAACTCCGGACATATCCGTCCGTTCACAAAATATAATGCCACTAGGAAATGATTGCACACCGTCGTTACTTGAGGCACCTGTTTTTAAGGATGTGTCCTGCTAACGCTCCTATCTCCGAATGAAATCGTAGATGAAATACAAATAGATGGCTGCCAACGGTATAATCTTATTACAGGACTAAATCCCTCTGGAAGGACCAACTGCGAGGAAAAGAACTATTATCCTTAACCGTGTCAAATAGTAAATGTGATTATAAACTGTAAATGAGCCGACGCTTAGCACACTTTTATCATATAAACAAGCTCGTCCAGGTTTGACAGCTTTATCAATGAAACAACCCTCGTTAAACTCAGCTTAACCCTATCTAGACGGTTGGGGGGGGGGGTCTGCTAAGAGTGCCCACCCCAACTTTGATGTCGGATAACGTCCGAACGGCTTGAGCTAGGGCCACCAAACTTGGTGACTTTTCCTAGGATATTGTTGGCAACAGTTGCAATTTTATGATTTTTCTCGTTGCCATGGCAACGGGTTTCTGACAGGCATTTTTTTCAAAAATCAGTAATTTTGGCTTAAACATTGAACTTTTCAGGCTTTTATGTTAATTTACACATGCTTTCTAATATTGATAATATGTAATTTTATGTAATTCTTTTTCCAATAATTATGAGCCACCCCCACAGTCCCACGGATCCCAAAAAAGCCCAG